TATATTGAAATTCACATATACAGGGTGGTCCGAACTGTATTCCGGAAACTTCAGCAGCATATTCTGCAGATAAAAATAAGTAAAAAAGTTTGTATAAATGTATGTCCTAAAATGCTTAGTTTTGGAGATACAGGGTGTTGAAGTTTCATTTTTATTTCAATTTTTTCCAAATAATTTCTGAAGTAACGTCAATATTGGAATGAAAATTGGTGTCTGAAGAGAGAAATTTGATTTTGGTGTCAATATGGCTCCTACTAGTAGAGAGTGCCACCTGCATGTGTCTTAACTCTTTTGAAGCGTAATAACTTTTTGTCCGTTCCTGTATAAAACTACCGAGCGAAAAAATATACATCTCCGTGACTTTTAACGTAAAAAATGTCTCTTTGTAAAAATCGCTACAAGCAACCGTTCTTAAGATATTTAGAATGGAAATATAGACCATACATGTCATTATTGACGAAAAATAAACACGTTGAGTAGATAGTTATTTGATAAATTTTTATTTTTTTAAATTAGTCATATTTTTTTCTGCAAAAATGATGATAAAACTGTTTCTGTTGAACTTTTGGCACAAAAACATTTCAATTTTATGATTTCAGTCTTATAACTATTTAGTCAACATGTTTAAATTATGTCAATGATGACGTATTGTAGTTTCGATTCCAAATATCTCGAAAACCATTGCTCGTAGCGATTTTTACCAAGACAACTTTTTCACGGAAAAAACGTCGTAAATGTATATTTTTTTACTCAGTAATTTTATACAGGTACGGACGAAAAGTTATTACTCTTCAAAACAGTTAAAAAATATGTAGGTGGCACCCTCTACTAATAGGAGTCATATTGACATCAAAATCAAATTTCTCATGTCAAAAAACTACCAGACACCAAGTTTCATCCAAATATTTACGTTACTTCCGAAATTATTTGGAAAAAATCGAAGAAAAAATGAAATTTCCACACCCTGTATCTTCGAAAATAAGCATTTTAGGATATATATTTATACGAACTTTTTTACTTATTTTTATCTGCAGAATATGTCACCGAAGTTTCCGGAATACAGTTCGGACCACCCTGTATATTGAAATTCACATATTATAATCTCTCCAACTATGGGATACACGACTGTGACAATTCTGTCTGTTATTTTAACTCTCAGGTAGATTTTATTATCTGTAATTTTTTTGGCTGTCGAAATATTTCTGCCTCGTAGGACAGACGTTATATACTAATTGATCATATGTTACACTCATTAAAGCAATAAATGTAAAGTAAAAAATGTAAAATGTAAATATAAGTAAAAAGTCATAACATAATTTACATACTGATAGGAATTTTCAATTCTTCTGTCAAACATTTCATATTCCTGATCATATAAGCGTCTGAGTTTCTAGAATAAGTGCATTAGAAATCGAAATAAACTTTAACTGTATATTACTTTTTTATATTCACATAATATTCTACGTGTTGCTTTAGCTTTTACGAGCTTTCACGAAATAATAACGTGTATATTTCAAAGAGTAGGTCCAATAAGAGTATACGAATTAATAATACACAAAACTTAAAATTCCTCCACATGACCAATATAATACGATTTATATATATGTATAAGATTTTATGAATGTGGTAGACAATGATTCAGTATTGAAACTAAAAGAATTTCGGACTTCCATTGTCTTTATTTATTTTTGATTAACATTGTTTAATACCGTATGATAGAAAAAAACGGCGTCTAGTTGGCTTGGAAATGAACATCGATGACATTCCCCATATAAAATGATAGAGATCTTCATTTCATAGCCAAAGCTGACATCGTTTTTTTTCGAACATATAAGGTGCCCCATTTAAAATCATAAGGTTGGCATCTTGTTGTGGTATAATTATATTATACCAAACCAACTACCGTATGATCGAATAAAGATGGCGTCAGCGATGGCTATGAAATGAAGATCGCTGTCATTTTATACAGGGTCGCTGTTATGTATGGTAACGGTCGATTATTAGGTAAAATATAGGAGGTACCGCAAAAAGATAAATACAAAAGTTATAGGGTTTATAAATATCTATTAGCGGGTAATAAATTTAAGTATACAGGATCGGTCATAAAATCGTGACACATCAAAGTTTCATTTTTTTAAATGGAACTCCCTGTATATTATTGCATAATTCGGTTCTTCCTTCAATTCTAATCAAAAATCGAAATACACACAATGTACCTCAAACCAACCGTTTCCGAGTTATTGACTTTTAACAACATAACTTAAACAATTTGATTTAATTAATTTCGATATGTTCGGTTTCATTTAAAGATGCCATTCTGCCGAAACTGTGATACTTAATAATATCTGACATTATTTCTCAAGTTAGCATTTATAGATGTATAAAATGATATTATTATCAAGTCTGGAACTTACAAAATTTTCGTTTAACATTTCAATTCTTCAATTTATGTACATTGTGTATTACGGTTATTGATTAAAATTGAAGGTAGAATTGAAATATGCAATAATATACAGGGTTTCATTTAAAAAAAATAAAGTTTGATGTGACACAACTTTCTGACCGACCCTGTATACTTAAATTTATTAGTAGCTAATAGGAATTTAAAGACCCATTACAACAGTATCACACTTTCGGCAGAATGGCATCATTAAATCAAACCAAACACATCGAAATTAATTAAATCGAATTGTTTAATAAGCGATATTTTCACAAATCAATAACTCGGAAACGGTTGGTTTGAAATACATTGTGTGTATTTCGATTTTTGCTTAGAATTGAAAGAAGAATTAAAATATGTAATAATATACAGGGATTTTATGAACGACCCTGTATATTTAAATTTATTACTCTGCATGTATTTAACTTTTTGCGGTAACTTTTGTATTTAACCTTTTGCGGTACCCCCTATATTTTACCTAATAATCGACCGTTTCCATACATAAAAGCGACCCTGTATGTAAATTTCCGTCATTTCGTCATTTCCCAGCCAACTGGACGCCGTTTTTTTCTTCAAGCATACGGTACTTTTTGCTATTATCAATGGAAGTAGTTCAGGGTGGACATGGTATACTATAACGAGTCATGGTGATATCATTTTTAAAAAACAATATTGTATAATTTTATCCGACCCACAAATTTTGAAATAGACGACGCGAAGGTAATTAACATCCCTAGATAATATAGAGCAATTCGTTTGTACTGTACTTTGGAGTTATAATAGTAGATACTGATGACATACTGACATGTCTGTGCCATGTTCTATACAGAGCATAGGCGACTTCTCATCGTATACATATGGCGGGCGTCATCAGATTTTTCACAAGTACACGTAGTGCATTGTTCTTTCCAGTCATTTAATAAATTAGCTAAATGCGTTATCTTGTGCTTATCGTGACAATATTTTTAAGAAGAGCTACCCCAAGGATACTATATAGATAAGGATAGTTCGATTCCTATCTTCCTGTACTGTCAGTTTTTTGACGTTGAAGGGACATGGGACCGAGTTGAAGTTCGCGCTAAAGATTTTAGACAGTGACAGTTATTTTTGCGTTTGGCGGACGAGCATACAGTGCGGCGGAAGATAAATCTAGCGGGACAAAACCGTTTGGTTAGAAATAAGCCAAAAATGTGTACTGATAAGAATAAATAGTAGACATTCCAATTGATATAAAAATGCACGAATTATTTTTTGGTCGTATATATTATTTGTATTTCGATACATTTTTATCAATTAAATTTGATCGTTTTCTGCTCAGCAAGGCAGAAGTCATACGAAAACAAGATATTTGAAGATTGCCAAAGGTATGTACTTTTCTACTGTAGGTATATTATTTGTTAAAATCCTTCGTGCTTTTGTTCTGCAGATATCAAACTTTCACTTTTTTCAAATATTGATATATTTAATGATGTAGATCTTTTGAGTTACCAATAGTAACCAACACAGGTAGTCACAGTCACAAGGAGTTCAAGTTTAACAAGTGAATGCCCAAAAATTTCTTTTCAATCGGATAGTATAAAAACGAAACAAAGACTCGTTAAAGGGTTAATTGAAGAGCATTCACAAGAAGAATTGGGTTTTGCAAGAACTATGAGCTTTAGGGCTAGTGAGAGTAAGGATGCTGCTGTAATTATTGAAACCTTAACTCCATCGAAAGGCACTGAGTTTAAAAAAATAATAGCTGACGATACACGGAAAGGCCCGGCCTTCGGACTTGGCCTTGAGGCCGGGGCTTTCACCCAAATTACCATAGCGGAAATATATCCGCGGACTTTGCCTTTCACGCAAACCTATGGTATTTTGGGTTAAAGGCCCGGACCCAAGTCCGAAAGGCCAAGTCCGAAAGCCAGGCCTTTCCGTGTATGGGCAGCTAATGAATGACACCAATAGTCGTCAGCTCGGCAATTTTCCTTAAGACAAAAACATCCAAATGATGTTCTAGTTAAATTAAGCATGACGATATGCTAAAGCCGTTTTTTTCCTTTCTGATAATTTATAATAAAACTAAATGATTATTACCAGTTTTAATAAAAGTTTAAAAAATTGTCTTATATTATTTATTGATACTTACTATATATGAATTTACAATAAAATTAAAATTAAAATATCTATCTTTTTTATTATTTTCAAAATAAAATAGATTTTTTAAAACAAAATATACAGGGTGTCACAAGATTACAAAAAGTAATTAAAAAATAACTGCCAAAGAGTTTTTTGTAAGTATTTCACCTGATATCATATATGTATTTGGCAATAGTTTACAGTACGGTTTTTGTGTGTCATGTACGAATAATATCATAGTTTTATTATCTTGTATTTATTTATTTATTAATAAATTAAGTTGTTAATAAATAAATAAATTTAACCAAATGGTTGCCATATATTAGACCATTTGCTACGTTCTTAGATTTTAAGTCCCAAACATCGCTCCTGAGATTGTGTCCCGCTAGAATAACCATCCGCCGCACTGTGGAGCGCTGGTCCCTGCGTGACGTAAGCATCCACGGCGACTACGATAGCGGCGATTTGACGCGATCGAACAGTCCTTTAGAATATATACAGTCCTTGGAGCTACCCTACCGGCTGGTTATCAATCTCGGTACTCTGAAATCAGCAGCAAGGACACTTGCCACTATAACCAACCAATGGATGCTATTTGATACAGTATTGGTCGTAAAACAAAAAAAATATTCTCATATTTTTTATTTCCCATCTTTAAATGTGAAAATGCAGATAGTTTCGGTACTCTGTATTATCAAGAGACTTAAAACCTAATCACGCGGAGGCGCCCTCTTCACGGATGGTAGGGAATGATGACTGTCATGAATATACCTTGATCCTAGGTAGTCGTCGTGTTCGGGTACTGGAACATGGTGCCGTGAGCGAAACCGGCGGACCGTACCGCGGGCCTGGGAGGTAGTTGCGGTGTGATCTGGCCGGAACTGGACTCGCTGGTACTGCTCGAACCGTACCGCGGCGAAATGGTCGGCGGTTTGGCGGGAGATGTCGACGGAGGTATGCTGAAATATCAGGTGATTAATGATACCAGGAGATTAATGACTACTGGCGGAGACTCTCGAGACTACAAAAAAAATCATGCTCGAGAACAGTAACAGGAAATCAAGGTTATTAACGTTATTAACCATGGGGGAGTACTTTATTCGCTGCCAATAATGAACTTTGGCTCCCCTGTGTATCAGTTTGAATTTATTCCATTCCTCTGATAAGGTAAACGATTTTAACAATCATGATTACAGTTCGTCTGCTGGATCTGTGTCTATAAAAGGAATGCGGACAAAAAACATTTAAATAAACAGCAATATATTTTATACGTCGACTTGACGAGCACGTCACCGCAAATCGCTCCGCCCACTCATTTTATTGGTTACTTGCAAATTTGTCGAATTTTTATTGATGGGACGCGTCGTCTAATTTTTTACGAAAAACATCGAGAGAATATCGTTTCCCCTCTCACGGATACCCCGTAGCCACAGAACGGACAGACGTACTGTACTGTTGTAATAGGGGAATGTTCCCATTCGTGAGAAAAGAACGCTCAGGATCATTATTGTAATCGCAAAACATTTTCCGATACACGTCATCAATCATATCGACATTAAAGTCTATAAACCTGACTAAATGAAATTTTGGCAAAAATGTTTAAGTTTGTTGTATAATTTAAGATACCGAACAGCTCTTTATTTTACTTTATAGAGTAAATCGTCGCGTTCATCAGGACATAGCGCTACTGCAGCGATCACTAATTTTCTGCTGAACGCGCCGATTAGTTGTGAGCGCTCTGGGATCAGTCGCCATTTTTTCCATCAGATTTAAAATACGCTACGCTACCGATGCATGATGGATTAAACATCACATACGCCAAATGTCACAAAATGTTTTGGAAAACGAAAACAAACCATTTTGTTTATTGTTCTCGGTTGACTAATCCCCTCGATTTGTGTCAAAAATGAGTGAAAACAATTCAGTCTAAGGGATGCTAAAAAGCGCGTTCAGCAGGACAACCAATCGATGGCACATCGCTCACTGATCAACTTGTCCTGATGAACGCGACCAATGATTATAACAGATATTTTATTTAGATTAAAGCTGCAAAAATTAGTTTAAACCAAATTTTATTATCGCTATGTTGGTCACATTGCGCCGTTTTCAGCAAGGGTGTCGTTTATTATTTGACAATTGTCCTAATGTCAGTCATTATTTTGTATAATATAGTGTTGTTGTTGAATCATTCTGAGTAATTCTCGTTTTTTTGCCTATTTTCATTATTTTTTTTTTAAATTGTACTTAAGCACAAACAGTTCTTTTAAGAACTAAATTTTCGAGTTTTTGTATTGCATTTCTTGAAATTGTGTGCTGAAAATATGACGAAGCTATTTCAGCACACAACGAAGCAAAGAGCTTGTAACTTCCCTGATAAACTATTTTGAACGAGAACGTGACAATAAAGGTCCTTTATTACCCTTAACCGCAGTCAGAGAAGTAAGTTTGATTGATAAGGACATTATACCACTTTCAAAGTTAGTTTTTATATTAAGTTCTTTGATTATTAGTTTGTGCATTAATAGCAACCTCTTACTTGTTATTACCACTGATGGCGTTTTAAGATGTACATCAATAAATAAATAAATAACCCATAATAACGTTTAGAATAATCTTCATAATGGACTAGTTTTTGCCAATATGTAATAAGCAAAATAAGCTATAAAACAAATAAATCAATTAATTACTAAAATATTAGTTATTAAATTAAAAATAAAACGTAAAAATCTTTAAAAAATTATATAAGAAATATATTGTTTGTCACTTTTAAATTAAGATTCATCTCATAAATCCATCACAATCTGGCAGCGCTGTTGCCATCGCTTGTCCCACAAAGTTGATCGCGTGCATCGGAAATTTTTTTGCGATTACCATATGTGGGAACGTTATCCAAAAAGAAGATAAATGTTAAGTCGTTAATATGCTTGCGTATATAGGATCTAGGATAAGTATAAACGAAAGAGTTGCCTATACACAACGTGATAACGCCAGGAAAATTATGGCGCATTCTTTGTCGCCGAAAGTAAAATAATGAAATAAACCTGAATATCTCTATTCTTACTTGGTGCCGCCGTTCGCCGAAGTGACTTGATCTCTCGTCGTCCTGGGCGCCATGTGGGCGTGTCTCCGCATGTGCAGCTGAGACGCGTGGGTCGGTCTAAGGGGTAAGGCCACCGCGGGGGCATGACTTAAATGGGCGTGCCCCGGATGATTGTAGTGGCTGGGGTGTGGCAATGTATGCGAATGGAATCCTCCGTACTGGTTGGGCGACGCGCCGGGTTCTCGTCGAGGGGGGAGGGGCGGCGGAGACTGATCCTTTGGCGGTAGGGGTGGTGCCGTCGAAGATTGTTTACCCTAAAATTAATAACATGGTCATTTTTTTTCACTATAATTAGCAAAGATACTATTCTAAAAATACTGAGACACTAAACAAATATTATTTAACTTTCAAAAAATATTACTGGCTGTATAGACAATAGACAAAAAAGACCGCCGTTAGACAAATTTAAATAATTAACATGAATACCGCCGAACAACGAGGTTAATTTTTCAAGTCGGTGCACAGAAGGCCAGCAAACCATATTTTATGGAAAAATTATTTTGCTCATAGATATTATTCAATATGTGTTAAAATTACAAAATCAATACAAAATATGAAAAAATAAACAATTATTAGGCCCATAAGAAATGGTTTATACAGGGTGTAACAATATTAACGCACATAAAAAATCATATGTTCGCAGATTCAGGTCCAAGTCACACTTTAACTAGTTTCCAAAAAACGTATGAGCCTAGAAGCAATAAATATGTGAAAATTTTTGGTATACAGGGTGTCCCAAAAGTCAGAAGGAATCAACTTTTTATAAAACTAGTTTTTTCTTAAAAATCAATTTTTTAAAACTTTTGAAAGCAATTGCATAAAAATATAACAGCTGTACCTTCATTTTATTCGTAATTATTTTGAAAATACAATATTTTATCAACTTATTTTGTAACTTATTGATTAATATCTTTGAAACTATCCAAATATATTTACATCTTATCTTAGGATTATGTAAAGTGGTCAGAAAGGACGCCAAAAATGCAATAATATACAGAGTGTTCCATTTAAAAAAATGATTCCGGTCCACTCACACTTTTTTGAGCTACCCTAAAGAAGTTAAAATATTTTCCTGAAAGAACAAAATTCCCGTTATTTTATTACTAGGAGCTGCAGATGCCCGACGCACTATTACCAGATTGTGCATCCAACAGAATAATATAAATTAAATATTAACTAATAACAAATTATATATTATTATATTATTAATATATTTTATATTATATTGTCAAGACTTAAATATAGGCCAACTTGGGTTTATAGCAAATTGGGAAAAATCATGTAAAATATAATTCCAGTAAACCAATTTGATGTAGATCCAAGGGAATCGTTCACGTATACGTTGACCTAGACATGTTCTTACAGTAAACACTGTTAATTAAAACAATTAAAGTCAGGTCGATGTAGCGTGATGTTTCAAGGCAAGCTCGTACTAAGCATTGGTGCTGGGAATATGCAAAGAAAACTTTTGAGCACGCACCCGCCGATGATTGGGACGAGCGGACAAATAAATATAAAAGGATATGCTGAAGACAGGGAAGAGGTGAGTTAGTTGATTAGTCCATTGCAGTCCAATGTTCAGTTAGTTGGCCAGTCAGTGATTCGCATTATTAGTCCGTTAGTTGGCTAGTCAGAACCAGTAGAAGACAGCGCAGAACGAAGATGTTCCTGTAAGTACCTTCTTTGAGTATACCATATATTGAGTCTTAGCATTTCCCAAATTTGTTATCTACATTGATTCCTTATGTATGTAGTTATATATTTAAATAAATGCATATTTTATCTAATGGTTGTTTTGATTAAGAGGGAGAACCTGGTATAGCGACCCTAGCAAACAGCCCCCAGCTAGGTCGCGACAATATAAAATTATAATATTTAATTAAGGTACTTTTTAAGATTGCTTACTTGCTGTGGTGAGGAAATTTCAGGGCTGTCTCTTCTCCTTCTTGGAGGTAGTGGTGGAGGAGGAGGAGGGGGTGTAGGAGGCAGTCGAGGACTATTTGGTTCAGCAGACGAAGGTGGATGGGGCCCAGGTGAAGTTGGAGTATGTGGCGCGCCAGGGCTACCAGGTGCACCAGTGGAACTAGTTGAGTGAGTCTGGCGATGAGATCTAAAAAAAGATATTCCAAATACTCTTTGGCAAAGGATGTAGATCGTTAAATAAAATTATTATAAAAGGAGAATATCAACAAAATTGGCTAAGCGTTAACTTCCAGTTTATTTCAAACGAAAAGGAAATCAAACAAGCACATCCCATGAGAAATTAAACTGAACTGCCGTAAAGCTGTTGATTCCATATGTTCATTAATGACGTAGTTTTCGTCATTAATAAACATACAGTAATCGCTAAATAAATACCGATGCACGTCATCAATCATATCGACATTAACACTAAAGTCTATAAACCTAACTGAAAAAATAAATGAAATTTTAGCAAAAATGTTTAAATTTCTTGTATAATTTAAGATATCGAGCAGCTCTTCATTTTACTTTATAGAGCAAATGATTGTAACAGATATTTTATTTAAAGCTGCAAAAATTTGTTTAAACTCAATTTTATTATCGCTATGTTGATCACATTGCACCGTGTTCAGCAACGTTGTCGTTTATTATTTGACAATTATCCTAATGTCAGTCATTATTTTACATAATATCGTGTTGTTGTTGAATCTTTGTGGATAATTCTCGTTTTTTTGCCTAGTTTCATAGTCTCTTTTTAAAAATTGTACTTTTAAGCACAAACAGTTCTTTTAAGAACTAAATTTTCGAGTTTTTGTATCACATTTCTTGAAATTGTGTGTTGAAAATATGCCGAAGCATTTAAACAGTGGAAGCAAAGAGCTTTCCTGATAAACTATTTTGAACGAGAACATGACAATAAAGGTCCTTTATTACCCTTGACTGCAGTCAGAGAAGCAAGTTTGATTAACAGGCACATTATACCACTTTCAAAGTTATTTCTACATTAGTTTTAATTCTGTGATTATTAGTTTGTGCATTAATAGCACCCTCTTACTTATTATTACCACTTATGGCGTTGTAAGATGTACATCAATAAATAAATAACCCATAATAACGCTTAGAATAATCTTCATAATGAACTAGTTTTTGCCAATATTTAATAAGTAAAATAAGCTATAAAACAAATAAATCAATTAATTACTAAAATATTAAATTAAGATTCGTCTCATAAATCCAGCACAATCTGGCAGCGTTGTCGTCATCGCTTGTCACTCAATGTTGATCACGTGCATCGGAAATTGTTTTACGATTACTGTAGTTTTGACTCCTTCCTTAATAATTTAATTACACTGTATAAGTAAAAAAACTTACATATGGGTCTGTATACTGCTGCCACTTTCAGACAACCTCGCAGCTCGGTAAGAGGCTGTAGAAATAACAGAACTTACGCTGGGGCTTCTTGTGTGATTAAACCAGTTCATAATCGGATTTGAAGGAGCTGCAGGAGAATTTGGACTCAATGTTGGACTGTTCTGCCCTGTACCTAGCTGAACCTACAAAACATATTTTTGAATATACTATTTAGAACACAAGTTCAACACTGAGACTTACTGATGCAAACACACTAAAATCGTTATCACTTTTTGACGAATCTTCACTCTTGCTATCATCACTTTTTATGGTTGAGCTCATTGTGTTCAGCGAATTTGTTACCACACTTCCAGCACTACGTTTAGGCTATAAAAATAAAAAAATGATTACTAATAAAAAAAATTGCTAATAATGTCGTACTTTAATCCCTGGACTCTTCAAGCTTAGTTGGGGCCATTTTCTAGAGAATTTTGGCAACTGTCTACATCCTCTCGGTTCAATTTCCAATGACTTCTGATAGAGGTAATTCTGAATCTCTGTGTCTGACATCTCCCCGAACGGATTTAGGTTTTCCAAAAAGTTCTGAAAGACAATTTATGATAAATATATAACAACAAGAACCCTCTGTAAAAATACCCTAATTTGTGGCTCAACTTTAAAACAATATGGTTGATTTTGATATTGTTGGATTTCGCCAGTTATTTCGGCCACTTTTCTCCTTTTGAAGAAATTTATAAGTTGTGTTCCTGGCAAATGATCTGGATTGCCTTCCTCAATATGCAGAATGTTAGATAAATATATACCTACAATAGATATAATTATAGATTTAAAACTTTTATGTACGTGTCAAATAACTACCTAAAAAGGGGACACACGGTGGATTTATAGATCTGAGTTTTTCTTGATACTTTTTAAAATGATCATCCACTTTACATTCGTCTAATACTTTGCGATATTGTTGTGCAATAGCCTAAAACAAATCAAATATAAAGATAATTAGTTCAAATGAACATACAACAAATATGAAGAAGTTCTTTTGAGTGTGTTCTAATATTATTAGAACTATTAGAATTAGTATATCTAATTCTCAATTATTTTTTTTATATATTATCTTTATTTATTAAAGTTTATCTCTTTCCGTCGTTGGAAGCAAAAAAAAACACAAAGAATAAAGAAAAAAACTATTTAAAATATTTAAATTCGACTATTCGAGAACACTTTACATTTTTTAAAACGGATACGTCTACAAGAAATCGTTGACGTTCTGTTAAAATGACATTATATCCAAGTTAAACTTCAAAATTAACAATTACTACCTGATAACAATTATTTAATAAGGTAAAACCAAAAAACCCGAACTTTCTGTTTGATTATTTTTAATTTTGGCAAATTGGTATTACTGTGAACTTTGAATAAGAAGACTAAGGAAGAAGCATAATGCTATCCATGTATTCATGCATGGTGGGCGGAAAAAGGACTCTAGGGTGGGGATCCTTGACAGTTCTGTTTGACGATTCATTTGACACATTTGAATTTAATTTGAAATTTTGTGGATTTGTCAGTCTTTACGGAGCTTATTTTATGTTATTTATTATTTATTCTACTACTAATAGTTGTATAAAGGTAGTAAATCTAGATGGAAATTGTGACAGAACTTAAATTAACAGTGACACTATCGCGATTTATCGAAAAAGACTCTAAAATAGTTGGTGTGTAGCGTGCGGTAGATCTCGGCAAAAATTGAGTGAAATAATGGAACAACTTTTCGCTAGTAAGTGACTATATAATATACATACGCGTAGTAAACCGATCATTTATGAAATTCGCTTAAATTAACTAAATGTATATTTTTTCTTGCATTTTTGCTTTTATTTACTACTTGTCAAAGATTAGATGTCAAAGAATTTAGATACGTCAATTTGACTTACCTGCTTCAGTAGCGTATCGGATGTTTGTGTTACTAAATAATTATTAAAACTTATCTATTTTTATTATAAAAATATGTTTTTATAACAATTTTAATAACTACCAACATTTATTCACAACGTAAAATAAAAAAAAATATTGAGTCTACCATGAGTCTACCCCACGTCTACCCTACATCATAGTTTTACATTTTTTAAATAAAATTAGAAGGGCACTGATAAACCGGAATTTAAGTCGGCCATATTTGAGTCCCATCGCGGTGGACCTAAGATTTTTGATATGCTCCTTCCTTAGTCTTCTTATTCAAAGAGTGTAAACATAACTTCTGACAAGCAGTGTCCGTTTAGGTTTAACGTAGAAGTGTTTACAAAAAATAACTGTTTTATTTTGTAGATTTTTCTTGCAGTGCAGTGGCAAAATACCCATAAAAGATTTTTTTGGAGAGATGAATCAGCCACAAAGGTATAGACATTTTATACATAGTATGTTATAGTAAAAATCAAAAATTTCATCCACCTAATGTCTCCTGTAAAGCCGGATTTTGCCGACCGTGTATACTGAGATCAGCTCTATATATGTTTTTATAAACTTTTTGTCTTAAGATCGCACAAAGATTTACCTCCTGAAGTTGGCTATGCACTTAATAACACCCTGTATTTTCTTGATTATGAACCAATATTCCACGAATTTCAAACTGTGGTACAGATATTTTTTACTAAACAAAATGTTTCATCACATCCCCTCAACTCCAAGATAAAATAAATTTAGAAAAAATGGTGATATTCACACAAAAAAAATTATCATAGGACATACCTGAAATGTATATTTCAATCGATGGACAGCAGCAGACTGTCTAGCTGAACTAATTGCCAATACACCATTAAAGTTATTCATCTCATTCAAAGCCATCATAATTTCACAAATTCTATTTACTATTGCAACCCTTTCTTCAAAATTTTCTGCTTCCACTATATTCTTTTCCAGCCATCTGGTAAACTAAATTAGAGATTAACAATCAGATACAAGGTAATCAAAAAGTTTCTAGCTCCACTATTAAAAAGTTCTTGATGATACTTACATTAGTTGTATGTTTAATCATCTTCAATAAATTTGGACTAGTGAGATCCTTGTCTTTCTTTGTCCACACTGCGCCAACCAACTCGCTTGGTTTTATCATTCTGAAAATTGTTTATTGTATTAAAATTGTTGCGGTTTTATTTTTCGCGTTTACCTATATAGATCAAACTCTATAATAGTAAGCTGCCTAGCTATTTCTAAAGGGTGTAGTGTTAATATTCCATATTCTTCTGCGGTGCATGGGAGATGCCATTCTATTTGAGGAGGTATATCTACAAAAGCTATATTCTTGTGCCTTTGGTTGTCGTTCTCTTTCTAAAATATGCGTTCCGGTAAAGTTAAAGATTTTTATTTTTTTTTTAAGTCTAAAGCAACCTTTCTTTTTATCGTCTTTTTAACGCTTTCCACCCATTTTTTCATATTTTGTCCCGCTACAGAATCCAAAAATTCTTCCAATTTAGTCAACAGTTCGAGATCTCTTTCAAAATCATAGAAATGTTGATCCACCCAATGTCGTAATACATTTAAAACCCTATCAAATATTTAAATTAATATTTATAAAACATCTTAACAACAAATTAAAATTTACCTAAATTGTACTGGTTGGCAATATTCTTTCCTATATTTCTTCCAATCTTCTCTCTGATTACTCTTTTGTATTTTATCAGTGTCGGATGGATCTTGTTCGTATACTTTTGACGGATCTGGTATATGAAATCTAACAAAAAAAAAACAATAAATATACTCAGTTTTTTTTCTCAGGTAAGATTTCGACAGACGATGACAGAAGAAAAGCAGATGACGTCCCATACTAATCTATTTATTTTACTAAAAAAAGTTTCTAATATTTTTTAAGTTAACTATGGATGGGTTTAAATATAAATCCGTCATACGTCGTCTCTTGTTGTTTTTAACCAGTTTTATTGGTTTATTTTAAAAATGACAGATCATATTTCAATTTTATTGGTTTGACGGAACGATGAACGACAAACGGACGCCGATGTATATGAACTCGCCTTTAGGTTTTTGAGGCATGTCAAAGATTTTCCAAATTATAGGTTATAATTTTGTGTCAACTTATGTCATATACCCTGCGTTTTGGAAGATGATGTATTTTGATTCGTGTTATTACATCTGTTTTGTGGCTTTTGAAGTCAAATGGAGGAAAATCGAAAATTAACTGTAGACCCTGAGCACAGTTTACAGTTAATACTCGCTGCCCAGGCAGAAAGTCTTATACACCAATAAAGTTGTATACAACTATGGTACAAGGATCGTACTAAACATATACTAAAAACTGGAGTAGCTGTAAAATATCGACATCACACGATAGGTAAATAATGGATTTTAATACTGCAGAAAAATAATGTCAAAAGGTACTGGTTTAAAAAAATTAAGATTAAAATTAATTAATCAACCTTTAAGGTATAAAATTTGGTAAGTGTTATTATTAATAAAATAGTTTGTTTTATTTATTCCTGTGGAATATTACAAATTTGTATTTGTGCATAAGTTATATTGATAAATAAAACAAATAAATGCGGGAAGTTTCTTGAAGCTTGAAAGTAAGAAATAGTTCTTTTTTATATTTTTTTGGTATGCGGTGTTTTGTTCTCGTTTGTTTTGTATTAACACATACCGTTTTTTTTTAAATAAAATAACTCGATTACATTTTTTCAGTTTTATACAGTTTTTTCACAATATTTTGAAGTAATCACTTGTCAGTCAAATTTTAAATATATTAATTTCCTGCTATGCGTTCCAATTGTACCAACTTATTTCTTTGTAAAATAAAATAAACTACTGTGAAATTAAAATGACCGACACATCTATCACTGTCAAGGATCTTATCGTTGGACAGACGATATTAAATATTTAAATAAAAATAACTGGGTTATATACCTTTCTATAAGTAAATCTAATAGGGTATTTGGTGAGCAAAAGCTTCTATAAGTTGTTAAAAAAGTCCTTACAAATTTGGGATCTGCATAAATGTGATAAGTAAGACGTTCAACTAGTTTGTACAAAGATGCTCCCTAAAACAATAAAATAGATATAAAATTAAAGAAAAATAAGTTGCAAAAAATACCTTTATAAGAGGCACACCCCCACCATTCTCTCTTTGTTCGAGAATAATATTATCAGCAGAATCAGGTTCTGCAAATTTATACAATTCTGGAGAAGGCAGCTTCAGAGGATGTTGCTGTTCTATTTGAGATAATATACTATCTAAGACTCGTTCTAACATAGACCTATAATAAAAAGTGGTTTTTATTTTTAAACTTGTCTTACTTATATTAAATGATCGGCGAAATCGGCGTCATAGTAGCCTTTAAATAATATTTAAACATATTTGGGTGAGCCATTCATCTACGTGGTCTGTATTTTAACCAAAGACATCTAAATAAAGGGAGACAAAACAATTTACATTTTATCGCGATCACGAACCGTGTTCCGCAAAAATCGATGATGTCAGATTTACGCGGTATGTGATAGAATACGGTTCGAGTTCCAAATGTTATTATTGTTATTAATGTTTTTTGGGTACCTATAGAAACGTTAAACCCTGTTAAACTAAATATTTATATAGGTATATAACTTTAATTAATATACATAGATTGTGCCAGGATTATACCTTTGAAATTATTTTTAGTTTTCTAATTAAATTATATTAGGGAAATTACAATGACAACTAGCGGCATCGCTGTGTATTCATCTTTACTACGAAACTGTCGAAATCTGTAGGAATTACGCTGACATTTGACGTTTTCATTTGTTTTCATTCAACTTATATTAGACAGCGCGCAGTTGTGAGTTTTCTGCGGTAGTTTTTGTAGCTTTTGAATAACTTTCTAATAATTTATTAGTGTTTATTGCAAAGAAAACTAATTAAAAGAAGTTTTTAGCTATCTACGATGGTTCGCCAGTGCATGGTTTGTAAAAAGGTGGACTATTCTAACCCAGAATTGATATTTCGACGGTAAGTATCATTACGTTTTTTTTACCTTTAGCCATGCTTACAGTAGCGTATTTAGATACTTTTAGTTATAAGTAGATTATTACAAAAATACGTATATTTTCTTATTCGTTGGCGCTTTCGATTGTTAAATTAGAGTTACCCTCAGTTAGACCTCAGGCAAAAGTAGTTATAATGGAAAATTGGTCTGAGGCAATCCCAATCAATTTTTGATAAAAAAAAACATCACGATACAATCACGCCACTGATAGAGCCAAATTACAGAAAGATAGACGAAACTCAACCGTGTTGTCATATTTATGAACCCATCTCTTTTTAACTCTCATAAAAGTGTCCAACCATGTATGATTCTAAAAAATTGAGTTTTATGAATGGAGTGTTCTGTCTACCCATTTAGATGTCTTTGATTTTAACGCATGCGACAGAGATAAATATAAATGACCGGTTGACAGACAGAGAGACAAAATAAAAAGCGGCACACAGTGTTGCCGGTTTTTACCTGTGTAGGAAAATGTGCGTAGAAAAAAATAAACTATTTTAAAAACTTCCATGTATACTATTGAAATGAAGATAATATATTTAAGCTAAATATATAATATTTTACAGCTGTAGTAAAATGAGTAGCTAATTGTGAAAAATAAAGTTCCAATCCTAGATGTAACATTTTTCATAAACGTCTACTTGGGCGGTTTGAAATTTTGATGCAAAATCCGGCAATATTGCATAGGAGAAATGTATCGACCCAACTTTTATCTCTCTTTAATACATTATTTGATTTTCCATTGACTTTTTTACATCAATCTCATACATTTAAATTCCAGACTATGTTTTTACTATGACCAGAATGGTATAATAACCTTTCCAGCGGGACTAAAAACTTATTACACAAGGTGTTCCAGAAATAAGTAAAATGAGTATTTTAACTGGTAGTATAGTTCAGCCCCAGAGGTACGTCTATGCAGTTTTTTTCGCCAAAAAAAATTTGGAAAATTTGGATTTTTTTGGAAATTTTACTAATTTTTAGTTAAAAACATAATTTATTGATAATATGGCAACTTAGGTAGTATATTAAATTTACAAGAAAGAAAATCCCGAAAAGATCCACTATCTCTTAAAATTTGAGCAAAAAATCCTTTTTTTAATTTTCAAAGTAAAACAACTCCGTTATTTTGGACTTATTTGAAAAACGATAAAAAGAAAATATGTTTCTTTTATCGAGATCTACTACTCCTTAAAATACTTGCACTTATTTCTGGGACACCTTGTATAATCAAAATAAGCAAAATAAGAATCAAAATACACTAATGAAATAGTTCGAAAAAAATGGAATATTTTTTTTATAAAAATCTCCATTGTAAAAGATAAAAGTTTAAAACTATTGCTTGTTTATTCCTTTCAATAATTATTACAAAATTGAAATTTCGTCAGTGAAACGTGATCACCTGCTAACTCCATTTCTTACGTTAATAAGTTTTTTTATACCATTAGAAAGAGAAAAAAATACTCTATAAGTAGGGAAAGCAAATACATTTTTTCCCATTAAAGAAAATTTGCTATTTTAAATCAATAATATCTGCTAACTCCCAGTGATCTGAAATACATATACATACATACCGCCATTACTCGCTGACGAGTATTTGACACGCATCAGAAGATGGTCACGCAAGGCGTTTTCTTTCATGAACCTTTCTGTGACTGAAAAGCCCGATACGTGATGTTATCTGTCTACAGCACTCCAGACATTCAAAAATCTCATTGCTTTGTTGCCTATTTACTTTTTGGTTGTCGCTGTTAACTGAGTTTATAACTCTTCTCCATTGAGTTCTATTATGAACTGCTTTTTCCCACTCATTCTGCATATTAAGCCCCTTTAAGTTTTCGTGGAAAATATCTTTGAACCTTTTGAGTTGTCCACAAGGATTTTTTCTATATGTGGGTGCAGGCGGTTTGACATAATTTTTGCAAGAATTTTTCCTCCGATAGCCAGTAGCGAAATTCCTCGGTAGTTTCCGCAGTCTGATGCACTTCCTTTGTTCTTAAATATATTCACTATAGTCGCGTTGCAAAAGTCCTGAGGTACCTCTCCGCTTTCCCATATGACATCAAAGAGAGCCTTAAGATGACCAATAAGTTCTTTACTTGCACACTTATAGATTTCCGCCGGAATCGCGTCACAGCCAGCTGATTTGTTGTTTTTAAGCTGTTTTATGGAGTCCTTTATTTCCTGATCTGTTATTGGAATGTCTAATACAGTAGTTCCCAAACTTATTTTTCTCGTGGACCACTTTCAAAATTTTACTGGTTTCGGTGGACCCCCTGCTGCTACATTTCTACCACATTCTTAAAGTCGCCAAAAAATAAAAATTGTGTCACTTCTGAGTTCTGTCCCTATATTCCGATATGTAAAATAAAAACGAAAAATGGTACATTTTATATCACTTTATTTATTAAAAGAATAGAATTACAAGAAAAATATTAAGGTAATATAGGTTCAGGTCATAATTTTAATTAATGGGAAGGATGTATCTGATGGAGTGTCAGCAAACGATCAATGTTTGGCTTTATTTTTGTGAGCAATAACCGCAAATCCCCCGCTCTGTGATGTTTAATTTGCTCTTTTTTTTTGTTAAGAGGTTTGTAACGGCACTAAAACTCCTTTCGACAAGGTATGACGAGGGAAAAGCTATTAAAAATTTCCTTGCGATTTCCCACAGTCCAGGATATTTTTCGGGTATTTCTGCTTGCAGCCAAAATGTTGGGTAGCCTTTTCTAAATTTCACCTTCAGCTCCTCATTAGTGCTTAGCTCGAGCAGCTCCTCTTGTAATACAACATTGGCCACTTCCGTTTCATCAAATGGATTTATGATCCATGGTGGTATATCCATCGTCAGTATATCTTCAAACCTGGTTTTGAAGTCATCATGCAGAGCACTTAAATGTTGACTGTAGGTATGGATATCCTCATCAATACATTCTACCTGCGACAAGTTTGGAAATTGAGAGAATTCGCGCCGACTAATGTTTTGCTTCATAAATTTCAATTTCCCAAGAAAAGCCGAAATTATCCCCTTTGTTTTTATTAAATTCAGGCTGTCCCCTTGTAACTGCAAGTTAATATCATTAAATTTTTTAAACAAATCTGTCAAATACGCAATGTCTGCTTTGAATTTGATCAAGTTTTCTTTTAAATCTGGATCTCTACTTTCTAAGAACTCTAATATGGAATCGAAAACAGAGTAAAATCTCGTTAAGCATGCACCTTTCGACAACCAGCGTACTTCAGTATGTAAGAGCAGTCGTTGGAAGTCTTCATCATTTTCGTCGCACAATTGAGCAAATAAACGCGTATTCAATGCATTGCTTCTGATTTTGTTGACAGCTTTTATTACAAAATGAAGAGATTGGTTCAACCTGTCACTTAAATGTTTTGCCACAAGATGTTGTCGGTGGATTACGCAATGAATAGCTGTAAGTCCTGGTATAATTCTTTTGAGATGACTTATAAACCCACGATATCGCCCGACCATTGCAGGAGCTCCGTCTGTTGCCACTGAAATAATGTTTGTAAATGGGATCGATTTTTCCGTAAAAAAATTACTCAGGACATTAAATATTGATTCGCCTTTAGTGTCAGTCTCCAAAGTTCTGGCAAATAGCAATTCTTCGTGAATTTCTTCCTCAACAATAAATCGGACATATGCCAATAGTAATGCTTCATTACTGGGTAACGTTGACTCGTCCAGTTGTATAGAAAAATGAGTTTTTTGCAGATGATTGCACAAAAAGCTTTCGATATCAGAGCTCATTTCATCAATGCGTCTTTGTACAGTATTGTTACTTAATGGAATTCTTTTTAGTACGTCAAATGGAGATTTGTGCAAAACAGTTTTTAAAACCTCTTCAACAGCGGGTAAAATTAATTGTTCTCCGATAGTGTGCGGTTTTCCAGATTTTGCTATAAGTAATGAGATATTGTAAGATGCCCGCAAGCCATCATCGTTACTTTGAGATGTTGAAGCGAACATACTGTGCATGGTGGGTCTCTTTCCATATTTTTCTTTCAATGTTTGAAAATATTTTAAATCTTTACCTATTTTATCAGTATGACACCTTTTTAGATGATCTTCGAGCTTTGATGGTTTCATAGAGTCATTGCTCAAAACTTTGTTGCATAATAGGCACATGGGCAATTGTTTGTCTGCCTCTGATGGAACAAAACCATATTTCAAATAATCGATACTATATTGTCGACATTTTTTCTTTGCTGTAGCCATG